ACACCTTGGAGAGGGAATGTTGCAGCACACCACTGTCAGGCAGGGCAAAGCAGGCCCAGAGGGAGTGAGGGAGTGGGGGTTTGTACCTTGGTGTGTCCAAATTTGTACTGGGTGTGGTCCACATCGATTGACCCAAGGAGCTTCTCAGAAGCCTTCTTGCTGTCGATGAACTGTCCCTCTGGGATGGCACTGGCATTAAGAACCTTGTATCTGTGGAATTAGAGGAAATGTGAAAGAAGAGAATGCCAAGTCACAAGGTTATACTGTTTATTAAAACCAGCATCAGCAGAATGAGGCTGAGCAAGTTGGAATTTCATCCCTTTGTTTAGAGACACCCTTATCTTGAAGTTCTAACCTGGTAACAAAATCAAGGAAACTTTTCCAGTCACAGGTGAAAAGAGGACACTGATCTCCAGTCACTTCAATCCATATCTTTTTTTACTTAAACTATGCTGTCGAAAATTGCTGCAGAGGAACATTGCCACTATGTGGGTAGGAGGAAAGCCTCGTCCCCTGAAACTTGCGGCTGATACAAGGACCAAAGAACTCTGAGAGAGTTTGTAATTCTTATGTGAGAACATATTACAACCACGTAACTGCTGTTATTAATCTTGTAATCAGTGCCTTGTGTCATTCTACTGTGCTTCTGTACTCAGAGACCCTGCAAAGCTCAGTTGTGTGACGGGCAGTGGTCGGTGAAGCCACACGACACTCTTTATTTCTCAACAATTTCTCTATTGCTAACCATGCATGTTGCCTTTGGTTATGCATTCCAACATCTCCCTTTCTTTCAGTCATAATTGGAGTTTGCATTAAAAAATATCCAGAAGGGGTTAAGACGTAAAACTTCTTCAAGAAAGACAGAATGGAAAGCAGAAAGGAGACTGACCTCTGTTTGAAGTCAGCGTAGAGGATTCTGCTCGGGAACCCTTTCCTGCAAATCCTGATCCCTTCCAGCACGCCGTTACAGCGCAGCTGGTGCAGCACCAGTTCATGCTCCATGGCACCTGGGCAAATAAGACAATCATTTGATATTTCATGATAAAGCATAGTGGCTTTATTTGACTATTTTTATGCTGAACTTGGGGTTCTTACCAGGTGTTTTAGATTCATTGGGGATGATGCAGCGCACAAAATGGGGGTGAGTGCTCCGCAGATTGGTCATCAGCTTGTTCAGGTTCTCCTGTGGGTTTATGAGGAAAGATTTTTCATTTAGAAATGGTACTTACTTCTTTACTTATACTTTCAGATTTAGGAAAATCTTGGAAAGTGTTAATGGATTTGTAATTTGCAACTAAAGCCATCTGAATATTTCTTCTGCCTTTCACTCTTGAGCATGAGAGACAGTCGTGTGTTTTTATGAGACGGAGGGATACATCCTCTGAGCCAAGATGTCTATGGAGAATGGTGACTTGTTGTTCTTAGCAAAAAGCATAATTTTGAGTAAAAGATGATTTTTTGTAATCTTCAGATCCTAACTCTATGGAAGACACTATTGATGTTATCAGAAACAAAACCAAAAAGAGAAGAGGCATAAGGACCATGTTTGCAGAGAAGGCTCAGAAAGGGAAGTTTAATGGCCTTAGGTGCTACTTGATAAAATACATTTGACAAAGATTGAGCACGACAAGACAGGAAAGACTCCCCATTCAGTGAGAATGGGGGTCAGAAATCATAGAACAAAGGTATGAGTGTCAGGCCCTGCAGCACCTCTTTGTAGAAGTGCTTTTAAAAGCAAATCCTGGAACTATATCTGACTTCAGCTGTCACTTTTACTAGCTAGGTCCTAACTCATCTCAGTTTAGCCCTGGTTTGGAGCAAGGGGCAAAGCTGTTCAGACGAACATCTCTTTCACAGTGTGAGAACCTATTCAGGGTGCCAGGTACTAGGTACATATCACAAGTGCAGAAACAAGACAGTTTCAGTCTGCCTTAAGCTCTGTCCACTGGTGGAAAGGTAACTGGATTTGGCGTTTCTCTATTGCCTTGTCATATGTAGAATCATGTGAAAGCAATGTGTTTGGTATTATGTCTTATATGTTGTCATGTGCAAATGCACATACGTTTCTATGTGCTGATCCAGACTTAAGATTTCCTGAGGCAGGTACCCAGATCCACCATTGTCCTCACATGGCAAAGGGAGAGGGTGAACAGCCTGATCCTGTCAAACAGTGTACTTGTAAATAAATAAAACTGTAGCCTGAATTAAGTACTTTTCCCAGCATTTGAAGAAAGGCAAGATCAAGATATATCTTTCTCAGCTGGCCTCAGCTGACTTCCTGCCAGCTCTTTTATGAATAACCAGAGATATTCTTGATGAAGAAAAATTTTAGCAGGTGCATTGAAATGGCTTTTTTGCCAAATAAACAAAACCAACCAAACAAAAAAACTCAAGAAAAAGTAGAGAGAATGACTTCTGTACTCACCCTGAATAGAGCTGACACTGTCTGGAAAGAAGAGCCCTTCTTCTTGCCTCCCTTCTTGCCACCACCACCACCACCACTAGCCTCTGAAGAACACCAAAAATGAAAAAAGATGGTTTTACAACTTTTATAGACCAAGTTTGTTCATATGTACCAGTCATGATAAAAATGGAACCTAGAAAGCAATAGAGTTAACACTCAATCTAAAGGAGCACAGGACCAAAGGTATGTGATAATCCAAGGGACTATTATAGCTGAGTGGAAGGCCTGAAATACATTTGATCTTTTCCTTTATTAATAAATTCAAGCCATGACAGGCTCTGCACAACGTGCAGTTTCTTTAGAACACCAGCTGATATTCATGGTTCTGGTAGAGTCATTAAATATATACGAAAATACGAACTTCGGAGAACTGACCTGCCTCTCCTCCAGCAGAAGCAAAGAGTAAGGCCAGTGTCTTCAGGGATGATTTCTGGTACAGCCCCACAACCGTTTCATTCAGAGGGTCCTTGTTCTTGTCAAGCCACCCAGTGATGTTGTAGTCCACTGTGCCAGCGTAGTGCACCAGGGAGAAGTGGGCCTCAGCCTTGCCTTTGCCAGGCTTGGGCTTCTGGAAGTTGTTGGACTTGCCCAGGTGCTGGTCATAGAGCTTGTTCTTGAAAGAGGTGTCAGTTGCCTTGGGGAACATGCACTCCTCTTCCAGGATGGAGAAGATGCCCATGGGCTGGGGGAAGCACAAGTAAGGAGGAAGAAGTGAAAAGACAGAACGACTAACAGATGAAATAAATTCCTGACTGGGCTAATATTACTGCTCTCAAGAATTGTTCTTCCACTCAGCAAATTGTAAAAAAATCTAAACTTATGTGTTCACAATATCACATTTACCCTTTCCATCAACATCTATAAATATATATAAAATTAATGCATTTCTGAAAATACTTGACATTTTGAATTACAGAAAGACCTTCTCAATGAGCTCAATGCAGGCAGCCAGGTCCATCCCAAAGTCAATGAACTCCCACTCAATTCCCTCCTTCTTGTACTCCTCCTGCTCCAGCACGAACATGTGGTGGTTGAAGAACTGTTGCAGTTTCTCATTGGTGAAGTTGATGCACAGCTGTTCCAGGCTGTTGAACTGCACAATTGCAAATAAAGATTAATAATAATGTAAATGGAGTAATAAAGAACAGTGCTGGCTCTTTGTACCAAACACAGGAGGATCTTCAAGTGTTCCCTCTTTACTGATCCAGGAGTTTGGAACTTCTGCCAGTGTGCCTCTTTGCTCAAGCTAAACTTTATATATTTATGACCCTAGAAGCTTAGGTCATTTCAATGATTAAAATCTGTGAGTTGTGATATCTACTAGACTTGGTTAATTCAGTTACAGGATCGTCCACAGCAAAAAAGTGTACCCAACATTTTCAAATGCTAATATCAAAGTATGTCCTAAGCCTTCTAAGTACAAATTTTTTCTGTGAAAAAATCTATTCCCAATTAAAAACCTGATGGAATCATGATGCTTTAGATAAATTATGAAAGGATCAAACCATTTATGAAAAAATAAAAAGTTAGTCCTTTAGCACATAATAGGGCACTTCAAAAATCACAGTGATAAACCCCTCTTCCTTACATCAAAGATCTCGAAGCCAGCAATGTCCAGCACACCAATGAAGTACTGCCTGGGCTGCTTCGTGTCCAGCTGTTGGTTGATGCGAACAACCATCCACAAGAACATCTTCTCAAACACAGCCTTTGCCAGGGCACCCACTGAATTGTACACCTCAAATGTAAAACAGAAGGTTTGTAGACATCATACAGGGCAGAAGAGAAAGTTTAGAGGATTTGACAAAAAAAAAGGGATTTTTCCTACCTGCTGCACTGTTTGGCCCTTGGTCACATATTCATTCCCCACCTTGACTCGGGGGTAGCAGAGGGCCTTGAGCAGGTCTGCTGAGTTTAGACCCATCAGGTAGGCAGCCTTGTCAGCAACTAAAACCCAAAAAGTCAGTTGTTAAGGTAAAAGTAGACATTAATTCCTTAAAAAAAATTATCAAAAGAAATTGTAGTAAAGTTTAAAATGTTAGTAAAGATAAAAAACATATTCATGGAAATATTCTTTAGTAGTCACTGGACTTAATATTTTGCATTGTTCAGAATAATCTGCAGCTTCCACTGAGCTGTCTTCCTCCAGAGGACAGTGTGCCTGGTTAGGACACACTTCTATTCTACAGTACTGACACTGGGGAAATGCACAAGCTGTGTCAGTGATTCTGACCCTGAATTGTTGCCTGTATTTTTGTCAGTGTTTGGTATCTATAGTGCTTTAGTATATGTTGTGCTGTTACCTTCTGTGCCATCAGGCTCTGCCTGCTCCTCACGCTGCTTCTGCTTGAACTTCAGGTTCCCATAGTGCATGACTGCCCCTGTCAGCTTGTAGATGGCTGTTTTCTCATCAGGAGTAAAACCCAGGATGTCAATGGCACTCTAAAAA